GGACCTTTAATACATATAAATATAGCAGTTGCTATTGCAGCTCTCAGTTCAGTGAAGAGACAGCAGGGAAACAGCAATTATAAATGACATTTCAAGGAACTGATGGCAAAATCAGTGACACAATTAACACGTAATTAATTAGAAATGGATGATTTTTTAGCTTCCTGTTGGTTTAACCAGGTTCTTTATTACAGTACAGTGTGTTGATTGGCAGCCTAGAAGGGTGTTTTTAAAAAAGAAATGTTATTGCCTAATTTCCTTTTTGACATATCTCCAATTTACTGACAACCTGAGAACATGAAAAAGTTAGTTAGTAGAGTTACATTGTAACTGTTTTTTTTTTTTTTAGGATTGATTTGTATTTCCTTGGAAAGGGTTGCGTGGGTTTTCTTCTTCTGCTGAATGAAATTGAGACAGCGCTCACTTTCATGACCAAAACACCAGGCTTCCTTTTAAATGAAGAATCACTTCAGACCTTTGTACAGTTTATGTGACAATGGCAATGTTTTTCTCAAACTCTGTAACACATTCAACTCCCACAAATAAATACTTAGGGATTAAATGGATGGATGGTTTTCTGTTCAAAGGGACAAAAAAGATTCCTTCAATAATTAATAATTAAGCTTATGACAGCAACTCTGATTAGAAAACATACACTCTTATTTATTAATCATAAAAATATTTGTAGCCGTGTTGTTTTTTCGTATGATCTCTGTCACACAGGCTCAGTTTACGCATGATATTCTGCCAGCACATCCACAGTGCTTTTGTGCAGCCTAGTGGTGAAATATTATAAAATGTAGCCAAAGACAATTACTTTTAATGTTCAGATAGTCAGAGTTAGTCCTACAGGGTCTGTATGTGTTTCATTCAAGTCCTCATAATAGCTCTGTTTGATCTGAATGTCTAAAAAGCTAAATTCCCTTCTACATTACACAGAGCTGTTTTAAACACCACATGGGTTAAACTACTGGTACATTAACACCGCAAATATTTAAGAACAATCCAATTTTAACTCTTTTAACTTTATTACACTTTATAATTTTAGTGTGGCCTGCGAGTACAACACCACAAACATATGGTACTTTCACAGTCTGGTAATAGCACTTTTACAAGGATCTGAATGCTTCTTCAACCACTAGTTCTTCTAAAATATTTATGTGAAGGATGAATGAATCTGGGACCAAACTGTGAAGATAAAAATCATATAATGCACACTGTCAATTAGTAGTGGCAGAACAGACAGAGGAGACTGTAGTAAATCAGTGTGTTATTGATCATTTCCAGGCCTCTTGTGCCTCCTAGTGGTTCGTGCTGTGTGGTGTTACAGTAATTTGGTTTGGAATAATGATGTCACCCTTCCTGAGAGGTACTATAGATTTTCTAATGGTAATTTCCTGAATTGCAGGAGTTGAATACATTGCTGGTTTTAGCAAATTAACAGCAGACCACGTATGGCCTCTTTTCTCCAGTTTTTCTTTAGATGTGGAAGAAGATAATTTTGAACATGATGAATAGTTTGATTAGACATCAATGGTCATGATTAGATAGGGTTCTATGATGATTTATAGGTTTTATTCATATCAGAACTGTGTGCACTGATATTATATAATGTCCTTCATCCACCATAATAATTAAACATGCAAAATACTCATAGAGTGACTGCTTTCATTCAATTTTTGTGATAAAAGTAAAAGATGAGCTAAAAAGGAGTTCAGCTGATTTTTTTGTCCTCTAGGTGGCAGCATCTTTCTGAGTATGACACTGGGATACAGCAGCCAGGATGTAGCCTGTGTCTGTTACTGCACTGTCAACAAAATGATTTTATCATAATGTTCCATCTGAAAATAAAAGCTCCACAGCTTTGGAGAGGACAGAGAGGACATTATGTTCATCAACATGAGTTCAACACACATACAAAATAATTACTGCTATGAAAAACATGCAGTTTGTCATCCTTGTTTCCAATTTGAGATGTGACATGTTTTCTCGGCACTGCTGATATGACAATAATGTGAAGCTGTAATCTAAACCAGATTATCTGTAGTTACAAGGAGTTCTTTATGAGGAGCAACATCTTAATTGTCACTGTGTTTCTCACTGCGGTGTAACATGGTGGTTTTGTACAACTTGGGAGGTCGAGCCTCTTTTCACAAGCTGTGATCACTTGAAAAGAATATCTCATGTGGGGGATGCTCATGTGGTCTGTTAAAGAAAAAACAACAACCTGCAACTCTCCCCACAAGACTGCTTTGATCACACAGACATCATGTGATCTTCAACGGATTTGTGGCACGTGCAGATTGCTGGAGGAAGTATAACACCCGCACTGTGGTGACTGATGTGACACCTGAAGACTCAAAACAGAAAAAGTGTGGCTGTCAACCTTTCACATAAGATGTTTTTTTTTTTTAATAGAGGAGACACTACTGAGACTTGTGAACATTGACTTCATGTACTTAAGACCTGTTTTAGATTATATTTCAGTTGCTGGAAAAAAACAGCTGTTTTTATTTCACATGGAAAGTTCACAACATGTTTTTAATAGATTTGTAAAGCTCTCATGAGAAATCAATATTTCTTTACTGGCTGGAAAATCCTTTGAAACAGGATTAATTAGAAGCTATTTTTCCCATCGTCAACTTGTTGGGAACCATTCTTTGATATATTATATCTTTGCAGAATATTGGGAATGAATGAAACATCTGTTGTTTAATGTACCTTTAGGTGGTGAGAATCATTATCAACAGATAACGTTGAAGCTAAATAATAATAATAAAAGAAACCTGACATTACATAAGTCTTTCTGAGCGACCTGTTGCTTTACAGCACATTCAACATTGAAACATGGTACAAAGAGAGACCGGTTGAGTCATTCAGGTTTGAAAATCTTGGTGTTTTTTATTGTAAGTATTGCATCTTCAACTTACACAGCTAGAATCATCATCATCATCAGACTGCATGTTTTACAAAGGATGGCCACAGGTTCAGAACAGCGGGAGGACTCCCTACTTGGGGCTGCTCGTTTGGTTGGGCTTTGCTCAAAGTCAACCTCCTGTGAGACAGACGCCAGAAATGGAGTGTGATTTACAAAAGACACTGCGACTTCCACTTTGTCGGGCTGGTACACTTGGCCAAGCTGCAAAACTGGAACTCGACACTCCTGGAAAGTTAACCCTGAACCTGAACCACCGCCAGGACCAGATGTCTAAACCTAACCTTAAACACCGAGGTAAAAATATAGCTTTGTGATCACCAGTTTATGAAGATATGCTATTGTTTTGAATCTGCAGCATAGCCAGCAACTCTCTGTCAGACCTCCCAACTAACTCGGGCTGATCCATGTCCAGCCTGCACTAAACCGACAGTTACACTCATTTAACTTTCAGTGCAAAATGATTTGACAGTGCCTTCACTTACACACTTATTATACCTTTACATTGGACGTACTTGTCTCTTTATGACAAATACTCTCCAGAAGTCTGATATTCGATGGATTAGCAAGTGGAAAACAGTCCAGCTGAGATCAGTGCAGACTAGCCATGGACCAGGTGCCTCTCTAAAGCTCAGCCTTAGTAAGAACATGGAGCACACGCACACACACACACTCACTTACAGTCACATGAGACAGAAGAGACCTGGCTTCAGTAAAATCAGTCACTTAAAGTTGGTTTTATCCCTGCTTGGAATACAAGATCTGAGTAGTTTTTCCACATGAGACAATACAATGAGTGCCAGACAACATAACTCTACCAGAATCATCCCAATGCAGTGAAAATACTCTCCAAAAATACTCCCAAGCAGGTTAAACACCACTAGGAAGTGATCCAGGTCTGCACGAGGAGTGAAATTCATTTGTCGTCAAACATGGGACCTTTTTCCTGTCAGCAGTGCAGGTTCATAAAACCAACATATGAAGACGAAAACAGAAACAAAGAAAAGCTGAAGATAAATAACTTAAACAGGGGAAGAATAAATGTAAACTGTCCCTCAGAGAGTAAGAGGGAGATAAAGAGAGAGGACACTGAGGTGTTCTGAGGTGGTTTTGGCATTTACATTTTTTTTAAAATATATAATCAAGCACCAGAAGTGGTGACTTTCTGATTCAGTGCCAAGCCCAACAACCTCAACATAGCTCCGCAAAGAGCTTACACACTACACTTTAATGATGTCCTTCAGAGAAACCAAAGGATTTGTTCTTTTTTTGTTGATTTTTTCTTTATACCCTCAGTCAGAGGCATGGTATTGTAAATGTAAGACACATTTTGTCAACTAAAACACGAGTCTAATAGAGACTACAATCCTCCTAATAGAGGAAAGCGGAGTTTTAGACCCCTTTTATTGTGTAGTAGCTGGCTCAATATTTGCCAGTAAAGTCTTGGCTATTGATAAGCCTTGTGCAGAGGTAACCCCGCCGCCCCTCCCCCAAACAACTGGATAGGAGACTTATTAACAAGATGGTGAATGTTTCACCTTGTATCAGAAGGCCAGGTATGGAGGGAAGCCATTTTATCTATCAGCTTATCCAGTTGTTTTAGGTCTGTATTTGTCGTCACAGGCATAGCGCGTTGTTGGGGAGTCAGCTCCGGACAAGGCTGGTGACTCTAAACAGGCGAGGCTCAGCACTAGGAGCAGCTTAGGGGCCAATTACATTTCAAGTGTCCATTGAATAAAACATTAGAAAAATGAAAACAAAATGGCTACATTTCATACCCCTCCGCCCCTCCCCACCAAAAAAACAAAGAAAATAAAAATAACCCATGAAATATACAATTCTTAAAGTAAGGAGTGAGGAATAAGCATCAAAAAGATGAGTAAAATAAGACAGAACCAAAATAAGTTAATTTCTTTTTTCCCATTGCTTGTGTTCTTTGAGGGATTGTGAAATAAATATTTAAAAGGCCGGCGTTTTTTTTTCTTTTCACATACAAAAGGATTCATGAGAGATCCATAAGAGAAAAAGACAGTGGAAAAGAAAAAAAAAATACAGAGAACGGTGGTTGAAGTGCAATTCTTAATGCCAGTGTAGTCTCGATGGTGAACATTGACATCATAACACCCGTTTTCTTCTCCCCACACTTTTCCTCCACAGATCACCTGACCACCAGTGGAATGCCATATACAGCCCCCCCACTTTCATGAACATTATAAACAAGAGGAAAACAAATCTAATAAATAAAAAGAGTGCCACACAAACTCAACATTCTCCAACAGAAGTCCTACTTTCTGCAACTGGGTGGGAAGTTGTTCAATCGTTTTTAATCAGGCTTCAGGAGTAACTTCTCCTTCTCACTGCAGCAACAGAATGAGTAACTTTTCAATGTTTCCGCCAGCAAAACTGAACAAATTAATAGTGTCCATCCCGCATCCGCTGCCACTCTGAAGAGGATAAAATCTTTCCAAAAAATGTATGGAAAATCCACAATAAACACAGGTCAAACAGCAACAGAGGCAATAGTTACCATGAGCTCTACCTTTTTTTTAAAAACTCTTTTTTAAAGTTTAATTCATTAAACTATATGTATTTACAAAAAAAAAGAAAGTTTGCTTTTTGGACGGTCACACAGTCTTTAGGGGGAGAAAAGAAAAAGAAAAAGGGGGGAAGGAGTTCAAACTGACGAGACAAAAAAAGACTACAAGAGTTATTGCTTGTTACTGCTGGAAAGAGGATGGACGTCTATTCCAAAGTTTGTTGTTTGGACTTTTTCCTTGTTGCTGTTGTTTTTTTTGTGTGGTTTTTTTTTCCACTTCTTGGTTTGTGCCGTTTCTATGGACAGCTCTAAAGTAGGCAAGTGCAGGATAGCTTTTTGTAGCTGCTTGTCGAGGAGGGAAAGAAACCAAAACAAAACACACACAAAGTTACAATTTCCACTCTCTGAGCACCCACATTCAACAGGAATGTTATTTTGTTTTTTCCTCAATTTTTTTGTGGTTGTCTTCCTCCGACCTTGGTTGGAAACAATCACGGCAGACACACTTTGTTTGCTTTAAAAGCTCAGTGGTGGTGGATCTGATCTGTTTCCCCGTTGGTTTGTTTCACAATAGCACCAGTTCGAGTGTCGGAACTTTTGCAGTGTCAAGCAGAGGTAATGAAAAAACAATAAGACAAAGGATCAAATTCGGGGCCGAAGGGACGTTTTTCAGGGCCAAGCTGTGTTGATATGGCAAAGTTCACCCACAGTGTTCATTCTAGTCCAGATTAGATGTGCTCCCGTTTATCCAGGCCCAACACCAGAACGTTAATATGGGTACACAGGACCAGCTCAACACACACACACATACACACATACACACACACACACACATACACACATACACACCCACACAGGAGAGAACCGAACAGAAACTCTGAATTATTTCAATATGATAAGAATTTAAGTGCATTTTGGATCAAAATAGGGGTTGTATATCTTTAAAAAATTCAGAAATTTGACAGTTTGAGGAAATAAAACACATAAAATCAATCATTAAAAATTAAGATGATTTATGCTTTTATCTATCAACCAAGTCTCTGATCTCCGTAAACCAACTGGCAGTCTCACATCACTGTGTTTGGGTCCCTGGTGTCGGTCGGGGCGGCTCAAAGTTCAGAGGTGAGAAGGAGCTCTAAGTGGAGCTCCTCCAACAGTGGGACAGTGGGTTCAGCAGCGCAGGAGGAGAAGTGGGTGCAACCAAAGGCTAGGAGCAAGGAGGAGGGGGCGCTGCTGAGAGGCAGGAGCGACAAGAACGCCATTAGCTGGGGGCGTGGCCGCCGTTGGAGGTGACTGGGTGTATGTATGTAGGCATGGCTGGATGGATAAACAGATGGGAGGTACAGGTGGGTTTGGCAGGGAGGTGGTGGCCGTGTGGGGCTCTAGGAGGAGAAGGCAAGTTTGACACTGCAGGAGGAGTAGCCCTCGTCGCTGGCCATGCTCTGCAGGCTGCTGTGGTCGTCCAGGTCGCTGGTGCTGGCTGTGCTCACACTGTCCAGCTCTCCATGGGAGAACTCCGTGCTTTCCACGTCCACCTCGATCTCCTCTGCAGCCGAGGATGGAGAGAGGGTGGAGAGAGAGAAAAGAAAGGTAAAGCAATTGAATTGTGACTGTTTAGAAACAGATTCTGTACGGTACATTTGTGGCAATGACACATGGAGTAGAGGAAGATACAGTTAGAGCTGCTTAAAGAATGAGGCTCATAATATTCAATGTTTTTCTTAATATCAAGGAATCCTATGAAAACACCAAAACCATTGCATCCATCCCAAATATTTTCTGCCCTGTGTCAACTCATTGCCAAGCCCATTTGTTGCTAACTAGGATGTAAATCTTTAAAAACATGCTACGAATATATACTTTCATTTTTAAAAAGCAAACAAAATGTATTAGGGACTATTTTTTTAGCTGCTGATTGTGTGTATTTTTATTTATTTTTGAGCACAGAGGAATAACATCTATCTGGCTACACAAACAACATTTGTTAGTAGAATCTGTTTGTGGTTGGTTTTGGTGCTTTTTATGGAATTTGTTGACAATGATAAAAATATAGAAAGTCAGCTGAGCAGTTATTTTACATTACATAAATATTGCTACAGAATGTGTCAAAGTGCTAGATGACAAATAATATAATAATAAATCATATATTGTAAATAAATATGTATCCATTTAAAATGGTTCAATTTGCCTCATTAGAACCAGGTTGGAATGATGGAAACTAAAGCAGCCTTTAACATTTGGCTGCTGGTTGCTTCAAGTAACCAAAGTTTACTTTAAAGGCCTTCAGAGAGCTTTTGCATTTTAAACCTTTATCCAAGAAATTGGTGTTTATTATTTTCAGCAAAGCTCATTTCACACACAGTGCCAGAGGGACCCTGACTGGTACAACCTCACTGTCGTAGAAATTAGCCAGCGAGCAGCTGGAGGGTCTGACGGCATTGTAGTCGCCAAATTAAAATCCTGTAAAAAGACTCCTCACTCACCTTGGTCGGAGTCAGAGCGGTCGGAGCAGAGGGTGGAGCCCACACTGTCCATGCGTATCCTCTCCCCCTCCCCCGGGCTGCTCTGGGTTGCAGCACCACTGCCTCCCCTCAGCAGCTCCAGCTGGCGCTGGAGGTGCCTCTGCTCGCGCTCCAGAGACTCCAGCTGGTACTGGCTCTTCCTGTCTGCCTCTTCAAGTTTCTGCTCAGGAGAAAGAGAAGGGGGAGACACAGAAAAGGTTAATTGTGTGTACCAGGGACCAGGGTGAGACAAGGATGTATCTTGGTAAAGTGCAAATGTGTAAGAGGAGAGAAAAGCCAGACAAAAATAATAGTAACTGGAAGCAGAGACTGAAAGCAAGACAGTGAGGAAATATAGAGGAGATAAGAATGAGAGAAGGGAAGCTGGAAGAACAAGTTACTACAAGATACTGAAGAGATAGATGCAGTTAGTAAGTAAATTCCTTCCATATCAGTGTCTGTCAGAACAAAACAAACACTCCCCAGCAGCTGTTTTAGCATTCAGACACTAAACTCGTTGTGTCCCTTGGATTTTCCTTCTGCTAGCCCTGAAACCCCTAAATGATTTCTCTCACCTGCCTACACCGTGTCGCCTTCGTTACTTGCTGCCTCTGTTTACGCCTTATACCATTTAAATACATAAGCAAGGGTCCTCAGCAGGGACTGACACAGCCGTCTTGTAGCCGCATGTCACCGCCGCTGACCGTGACGAGCGTGACTCCCGGCGACAGACCAAAACAATAGACCATCAATAAGCGATGGAGAGACTCAAGATGACAGCAGCAGAAGTGCACAGTGGTGTCGGTAGTAGTAGTGGGGGTGGGGGGGCACGACAACAGTATCTGCTTTATGCCTCCGCTCTGTTACGTGAACGCACGCTACTCCGGGCTTCTCACATGAACACTGCTCGAACTCACGCAGTCACATGTCTGTTTTTAAAGTGGATGGGAAAGCGTGAAGCACAGCGTCTTAACGTGTTACATGCTCTTCCAAACTGATGATCAGGCAACCAGCTGGACACTGGTTACTTATTTCTACCGTACAAATTCTGCGGGGAGTGCATTATAGTTACACATCCACAACACGTTCTTGTTGAAACATTTGGATGGAATAATTTATGGGTGTATTTAAAAATTAAAGACTTCACCTCAGAAAAACAAGGTGCTTCACGATACATGTCACATTAACCCATTCACACACTGATAGCAGATCACAGGATCTCAGCCCATGGAGACTTTATGTCGACCTGCAGTGTGAGGAGCTGGGGATCTATGGAGCCTGGACGGGAACTTTTCTCTTTCTCATTTACATGTTTATTCACATGCAACCTGGAAGTTCCCGGTGAACAGGACACCAGAGGCTTCAGAGCGGACGGCGGGTTCCGGAAAAGAGACGTACTTCTTCAGTATGCCGATATGCAAATTATACTGCAAACCCACGCTCTACCTCCTGCCCCCTCCCCTCAGACCCTCCTCTCAACGCCCCAAACCAACAGTCGACGAGAAAGTTGAA